TTGGTAGCGAAGCTTTTTCAGGGACGAAATGTCCACTTTAGTGAGTCAGTGATGTTACTCTCAGTTCCAATAAACAGTGTATTGGACCCAGGTTTCTCCTAGATCAATTTGATGACTACATTCAGCTGCTGTCCCAACATGTTTGACCAAGCATGTGACAATTTAAATGAGCCTGGCTGTGTAATGTAAATCTGAACTAAATAAACACAAATGGCATGTCTGACCTAGAACCTCCAGGTTCTTTGCATGAATATCGACGTAGATCCTCTCATGGCTAAGCTATCAAAAGACCTAGTCTCTGAGAAATACACACAGAAATTTCTCTATATAGACCATCCAGGAGAAAGACATCTGTGGAACCTTATCTATGTGGAGGAAGTTGGTCCATCTCCATTACAGACCCCTCCCTGCAGCCTTCCTTTACCACGAAAATGGGTCAAATTAGCCAATAGGGTAATAATCCTATAATTACCAGACTAGCCAGAAAAGGGAAAGCCTCAGTTCCATTTCTGGAGACTCTGTGTATAGGTCACAGCCCAGAGGAAAAAAAAGACGACTGAATTATTAAGATTCAACTGAAAGGACATACGTACTTCCAGGATGCACACTTTGCTTTCTCAGCAGTATAGTTAATCTGGGTTAGAGATGAAAGTGTGACAATGCGCAGGCTCTATCTGTGGAGGAGAACACAGGGAAACTGAAAGACAATGGCACCAGGGGGCCCTCAGAACCACCAGGGGGCAACCGGGACACCAGTGGGGTGCTGAGAACCACCAGGATATGAGTGGACACTCGGAACCACCAAGGGGCGCTCAGGACATCAGGATTCTCTTAGGAGGCCACTCCACGTCAGGAGCCTGTGAGACTGTGGTTTCCTTTTAGTCTGGTGATTCCTGGCCTGGGCAAGCAAAAGTCTTCCCCAGGATTTCTCACCATTAATTCCCTGTAAATCCATGATTTCTTACCTACAATACATTAATTTACATGAGGGATTTTTTTTCCTAGACAGAGTCTTCTTCTGTCACCAGGCTGGAGTGCAGTGGCGCCATCTCGGCTCACTGCAACCTCCTCCTCCCAGGTTCAAGTGATTCTCCTCACTCAGCCTCCTGAGTAGCTGGGAATACAGGCACGCGCCACCAAGCCCAGCTAATTTTTGTATTTTTAGTAAAGACAAGGTTTCACCATGTTGGCCAGGATAGTCTCAATCTCTTGACCTCGTGATCCGACCACCTCGGCCTCCCAAAGTGCTGGGGCTACAGACGTGAGCCACTGCAACCCAGCCAGAACAGGGATTTAATTCTACCTTTTTCTTTATCTTTTTTTTTTTTTTTTTAGACCTAGTCTCTGTCTCCTCATCCAGGCTGGAGTGCAGTGGCACGATCTCGGCTCAATGCAACATCCACCTCCAGGGTACAAGCAATTCTCCTGCCTCAGCCTCCAGAGTAGCTGGGATTACAGACACTTGCCACCACACCCGGCTAATTTTTGTACTTTTAGTAGTGACAGGGTTTTGCCATGTTGGCCAGGCTGGTCTCGAGCTTCAGACCTCAGATGATCCACCTGCCTCATCCTCCCAAAGTACTGGGATTACAGGTGTGAGCCACCGCACCTGGCCTAATTCAACTTTTAATGCTGTGTATTTTCTGAGTAACACTAACAATGATCTCTCAGGACAATTTTTAAAATAGGTTATTTATATATTTTATTTATTAAAAATAATACTATTATTAAAAGATTAAAAATTTAAAATCGCACCTGTAATCCCAGCACTTTGGGAAGCTGAGGCAGGCAGATCATTTGAGCTCAGGAGTTTTAGAAGAGCCTGGCAACATAGTGAGATCCTTTCCATACAAAAAAGAAAAAAAAATAGCTGGCTGTGATGCTGCCTGTGCTCCCAGGTGCTTGTAAGTCTAAGGTGGGAGGATCCCTTAAGCCTGGGGAGTTGAGACTGTGGTGAGCTGTGATTGTCACACTGCACTGCAGCCTGGTTGGCCGAGGGAGACCCTGTCTTAAAAAAATGTGTATTCTCAATACAAACGGTTTCCATGAATAGAGTTTTGTGTTTTTGTGCTGTGATTGTCAAGCAATTGTATTTGTTTTCTAACTTTAACTCAGCATATGCTTGGTGTTTGGTTTATTTTTCTTTCATCTGCTGTTTGTAGAAATTAAATAGCACTTTAAAGGTTCTTGTTCTCCGCTTTGGTTGGCTTCTGGTGTCCTGTTTTTCAGACTATTTCTCCAACTTCCCTTTTTCGTTGAAAGTCTTTTATCTTCCTCAGTCTCCATACAGGGAGAAGAATGTCCCCTTACTTTCTGACCTCCAAGTCTGGTGAACAGTTCCTTTCTCTTCATAATCACTGAAGCCAACCAAGTTTAGGAGGATAACGGTTCTCCTTACAGTATGCTCATCTACCTGCAGACTCTCTGTCCTCCTCACCATTTTCTAGGGTCCTGCAGACATCACCCCCATCCCATCTCCTCCCTTCACTAAGTGCCACAGAGTGGGGTCCACAGTTAGTGCTGCCCTATGTGTGCTCAGGCCTGCGGCTCACTAGTGTTTTGATGATGAAGTCCAAATCCCCATGTGCTTGCGCCCTCTCAGACCGCGCTCTAGGAAGCTGCCGTTGTGAGTGACTCCTGGAAAGCATGGGCTGGGTTCAGTTTCGTATTGCTGGATGTTCTCTGTTATAAAAGGCATATTGGCAAATAAAGACTAGAGTTTGTATTGAATATTCATTTCAAAACTGTTTTTGTTCAAAAGTTTTCAAATAAAAAAGTTTTATTCTGCCTAGTTTGAAAACTACCATCTAAATTCAACACATAATGTAATACAATTTTAAAAGTGATGTTTGTCTTATTAGTCATTCAATTTATTAATAATAGACTGACATTTAAAATACATATCATTGCACATTTAAGTTTTGCACATACTTGACAAGAACGGCATTGACATTCAGTGTTACCAAAATATGTATTTAAATATATTTGTCTTTTTAATATTGGAATCGGCAGACATACACATAGAAAAGCATTATTTTGTACTACGGCCTCAAACTGCAAACAAAATTTAAATTTGGTTAAATAATAAGAATAATATGAAACAAATGGGTGTGTTGTTTTGGTGTTTAGGTATACATTCACTTTGGCATGGGCACATGTATGTGTCTTTGCTGGGCTGTTGTGTATGTATGTGTGTTTGTATGACCATGGAGTTTTCAAATCCATCATTAAGTTTCATAGTAATATTAATCTTGGCCAGGCACAGTGGCTCAGGCATGTAATTCCAGCACTTTGGGAGGCTTAGGCAGGCAGATCTTCTGAGGTCAAGGGTTCAAGACCAGCCTGGCCAACATGGCAAACACCCATCTCTATAAAAAATACAAAAATCAAGCAGGCATTGTGGCATGTGCCTTTACTCCCAGTGCGACAGGGAAATGTGGGATCAGAAATCCCACGCAGAGTCCCTACTGGGGCACCACCTAGTGGAGCTGTAGGAAGAAAGTCACTGTCTTCCAGAACTCAAGACTCAGAATGGTGGATCGACTGATAGCTTGCACCGTGTGCCTGGAAAAGCCGCAGACACTCAATGCCAGCCAGTGAAAGCAGCCAGGAGGGAGACTGTGCCCTGCAAAGCCACAGGGACAGAACTGACCAAGACCATGGGAACCCACCTGTGCATCAGCTAACCTGGATTTGAGACCTGGAGTCAAAGAAGATTATTGTAGAACATTAAGATTTGACTGCCCAGTTGGATTTCAGAGTTGCCTGGGACCTGTAGTTTTGGCCAATTTCTCCCATTTGGAATGGCTGTATTTACACAATGCCTGTGCCCCCATTGTATCTAGGGATTAACTGACTTGGTTTTGATTTTACAGACCCATAGATGGAAGGGACTTGTGTCGTCTCACATGAGACCTTGGACTGTGGACTTTTGAGTCAAGGCTCAAATGAGTTAAGGCTTTGGGGGGCTGTTGGAAAGTCATGAACGGCTTTGAAATGTAAGGACATAGTATATGAGAAGTGCTAGGGGTGGAATCATGTGGTTTGGCTGTGTCCCTGCTCAAATCTCATCTTGAATTGTATATCTCACAATTCCCAGTTATCACGGTAGGAACCCAGCGGGAGGTGATTGAATCATGGAGGCGGTTCTTTCTTGGGCTGTTCTTGTGATACTGGTTGAGTCTCAGGAGATCTGATGGTTTTGAAAATGGGAGTTTCCCTGCACAAGCCCTCTCTTTGCCTGCTGCTATCACCATGTAAGATATGACTTGCTCCTCCTTGCCTTGCGCCATGATTTTGAGGCCTCCCAAGTCATGTGAACCTGTAAGTCCAATAAACTTTTCCTCTATAAATTACACAGTCTCAGGTTTGTCTTATTAGCAGCGTGAAAACAAACTAACAGATGAAATATCAATCTCTTAAAATATGTTGTTAGGTTTGCATTGACACAGCAGATTCTAATATGGGAGGTAAAATAAGTAATGCATGGACCTTCAGATATTAAGTCATAGGGTTATTATGGCTGTGCATATAAGCACATATAAGATTATGTGATTATAAAACACATCATCAAGGTCACACATTGAGAAGGATGGAGATATGCCCCACTATCTTCTCAAAAGGTCTTAGACAGAATCCCACATTTCAAAAGGTCACAGAAGGAGAGCTGTCAGGTGCTTTTTTAAAATAACCCACTTCCTGGGACAGGAGCTTCCCTCTAACCATGATGGATGTTTGAAACTACAATAAAACATTGGAAGGATCCAGGATTCACTGTCATTATTACATTCAGATGCTGTTCCAATAAGTCTGAAGTGGTAAATGAGAATTTAGATGACCTGGGTGTGTGGTTGGTTTTATATCAATTTTTAAAGGTAGAACAACATTGACCCTATTCCAAAATGTGTCCATGATCCATGATCACACTCATCTCCCAGACCAGCTCCTTCAGCACGTTTGCTACTTGGAAGAAGAGGACTCTGGGTTTGGTGAGGGGAGGCCCCAGGAAGAGAACTGAGTTCTCAGAGGGCACAGCCAGCATCCTCCTCTCAGGGTGAGCACCAAAGACTGGGGCCTCCCTCATCCCTTTTCACCTCTCCAAACAAAGGCACCACCCACATGCAAATCCTCACTTAGGCACCCACAGGAAACCACCACACATTTCCTTAAATTCAGGGTCCAGCTCACATGGGAAATGCTCTCTGATAGTCATGGACCTCCTGTGCAAGAACATGAAGCACCTGTGGTTCTTCCTCCTCCTGGTGGCAACTCCCAGATGTGAGTGTCTCGGGGATGCAGATATGACGATATGGGAGGCTGTCTCTGATCCCAGGGCTCACTGTGGGTCTCTCTGTTCACAGGGGTCCTGTCCCAGGTGCAGCTGCAGGAGTCGGGCCCAGGACTGGTGAAGCCTTCGGAGACCCTGTCCCTCACCTGCGCTGTCTCTGGTTACTCCATCAGCAGTGGTTATGTCTGGAGCTGGATCCGCCAGTCCCCAGGGAAGGGACTGGAGTGGATTGGGTATATCTATGGTAGTAGTACGAGCACCAACTACAACCCCTCCCTCAAGAGTCGAGTCACCATTTCAAAAGACACGTCCAAGAACCAGTTCTCCCTGAAGCTGAGCTCTGTGACCGCCGCGGACACGGCCGTGTATTACTGTGCGAGAGACACAGTGAGGGGAGGTGAGTGTGAGCCCAGACACAAACCTCCCTGCAGGGAGGCGGAGGGGGCGGGCGCAGGTGCCGCTCAGGACCAGCAGGGGGCGCGCGGGGCCCACAGAGCAGGAGGCCGAGTCAGGAGCAGGTGCAGGGAGGGCGGGGCTTCCTCATCTGCTCAGCGCTCTCCCTCCTCACCAGCACCTCAGCTTTCTGTAGGGCTCCTCCCACTTCTACACATGCTTGTGCCAGGAAAGAAACGAGGAAGGCAAATTTTCCTCTTACAACTGAAGTTTCACCAATTACTAGGAACTTTCCTACAACTTCCTGCATGGCCCATTACACCTTTTGATATATATATATATACACTAATGCTTCTCCCCATCTCTTGATTTGTGTCATCAATTTAGTTGTGCCCTTTCTGAAATTCATGTGCTGAAACCCTAAAACCAATGGATCTATATTGGAATTTTGATTATATAATTAAGGTTAAATGTGGTCATAAGTGAGACCCCAATGCAATAGACCTGTTGTCTTTATAAGAAAAGGAAGAGATACCAGAGACCTCTCACTTCTCACGGGCACACAGAGAAAAGGCCACGTGGAGACATAGTGCCCTAGAAGGTGGGCCTCTGCAAGTTAGGAAGAAGCTGCACCAGGAACCAACCCTGCCAGCACCTTGATCTTCGATATTCAGACTGCAGAATTTTAAGAAAATCAATATTTGTTGTTTAAGCCACCCACTCCTGTTGTCTTATGAAGACACAGACAGACTAATACCACACAATTCTATTAGCTCTGTCTCCTGGAGGGAGAAGCAGCCCCCTGAGGCTGGGCATATCTCTCAGATTTTCACATGAATTAGGCAAAAACAGTAGCTCTCATATAAAAACTGTCATGTCCCTGTTGGGACAAGGTCTTTTAAACAAGCCCTGGGGCTTTGTCACAAAAGTTGTCTTTTATCCTTTATTAGGATGTAACTAATGGACAATGAGTACCAGCTGGATGGAAACTGACCACTGACCATCTTCTGCTGTCTCGTTATTATATCACAGAAAACCACACCAACATCACTCTATGTCTTCAACTTTCTAAATTTGCACTGAATCTATTGCTAAATGAGGAGCTACATGGGGTCTGTGTTTTGTTACCTTCTTCCCAGTCTTCCCCAATTACCAAGGGCAGAAGATACTTTCAGCAAAATTTGGCTGTCAATGCCCTCAACACCACATCACTTTTTAAGGTCCAAGGACTTTATTTGGGGGACTAGTGAAAAACAGTTTTAAATGGAAAACCCTAAAGCACATACAACAGCTGAAGGAATGGCCCCTGTGCACATGAATGCTGAAGAGATGGATGGTAGGGTACCTTACTCCAAGATGGTCCTGGGTGTGTGATGGTTGGATGCCTCATCCATAGGAAAAGAAGGATTGGACTGAGGTAGAAACAAGGGCCACATCCTATAGGAAAACAAGAAAAAAATGGGCATCCCTAAAGAGAGTTAATTAGAGTTGGTGGGTTTAAGATGAATTTTTTTCCAAAATTTTTTTATGTTCTAAGCTAAATATGAATATTTTCAATAAATTGCGAATTAAAAGGAAAATGAATTTAGAAGTTGAGAGAGAAAAAAGTCATGAGAGTGTAGAAAGCAAATCCACACAAAACTGTCACATAACAGAGGCCAGAATGGAGCTGATGCAGCTACATAATTACTCTGCAGACCTAGTTGAGACTCTTTGGTGTTTAAGGCAGGCCCAGCGGTGAAGAACTCCTTTAGTTTTTGATTGTCTGGGAAAGTTCTAATCCAATCTTCATTTCTGAAAAGGATTTCCATGATAAAGATTCTTCTTGGCAGAGTTTTGTTTATTTTTAGCACCACCGCCCCCCCCCGCCGCCGCCCTGCCGCCAATTTGAGTAAAGTCGTGTGTCACGTACAATGCTGCAGTCAACAATAGACAACATATATGTTTGTGGCCACATATGTTGTAATAACATATTTTCACTAAACCTTTTCCATGTTTAGATGTGTTTAGATAGAGAGATACTTACCATGGTGTTTCAGTTTCCTGCAGTGTTCAGTGCAGTAACACGCTGTACAGGTTAGTTGTATGAGAACACTGTGCTATTCCACATAGCCTATGTGTAGCAGGGTATTTCTTGTAGGTTTGTGCAAATTCACCCTTGATGCTTCCACAATGATGAAATTACCCAGGCACAAATTTCTCAAAAAGAATCTCTGCCATTAAACCACACATCATTGAATGTAATCCATGTCCCTTCTGAACTGAAAACCTTCTGCTGAGAAATCTGTTCTTTTTCTTTCTGTTTTCTAAAACCTCTTTTATTTTCAGCAATGTGGTTTTAAACTGAGTCACATTTTTTTGTCATTGGGTTTATCTTATTTAAAATTTATAGAGCTTCTTTGTTGTGGATGAATATTTGCTTCCCTTCTCCAAATTTGTAAAGATTTTTTGCTACTATTTTGAATAATTTATTTTCTCTCTCTCTCTCTCTCTCTCTCTCTCCCCCCGCTTCCTTCACTACCCCTTTTGTATTATCTCTGTATAACTCCTCAAATGCATGATTTAGTGTTCAGCATCCTTCCTGGCCCATAGTCTTTAACTCATTTTTATTTCTTTCATTTAAACTTTTCTTCTCTGTCTCTACTATTTCAAATGATCTTTCTTTGAGTTTACTGTTTCTTCTATAACTTGACCTAGTTTGTTCTAAAATCCTCTGTTAAAATTTTGGGCTGACTTATTGTATTCTTCAGGATCAATATTTTTGTTTAGTCATCTTTTAAATGTTTTGTCTTTATTAAAATTCTCACATTGTTCTTGCATGCTACCACTAGCTCATTGAACATGTTTCTAACATTTACTTTAAATTTTCTGCCAGGTAATCCATATGCTTCCTTTTCATTGATGTCTGTTTAGGGACCTTTAGATTGTTTTTCTCTTTGGACCATGTTCCCCTGCTTCTTCATTTTCCTTGACTGTCTTTGTTGTTCTTTATAACAAAAACCATCATACACTTCTTCAAACACTAGGCTCATAGAGATAACCCACACCAACCAGCCCAGACAGTAATTTTGAGTCTCTCAAAACTTCATAGGGTTCAAACTTCTGTCTCTGTTCTTAATGGTCCCCAGGTTTTAGAGGATGATAGATTCTGCCAGGACTCACGGTTAGGGGAGGTAGAAACTATTTATTCAAGCAGCCCCTTGAAAAGTTGGACCATTGGACACAGTTTTATTTTTGAGGTGTGATTCATCAAAATAATGTTAGTTCAAGCTTCTCTCAAGCAGTTATTAAACATTGAAATTTTATAATTTCTTATTTGCACCTGGGGTTTTTTTGTTTGAATATTTATGTCAAATTACAAACTAGTTTAAAGCTGCCTGTTTGGCAAAATGATCTGCTGCAGAATTTTCATTTTCTGTCTCTAGAATGCAAAAAAAAAAATGTCTTAAAGTTCCTTAATTTGCTTAATTTAATGGGGTTTCCAGAAAAATGTGAAAACCTCCTTTATTTTTAAAGTACCTGAGTCCACCTTGGTCAATAGTTTCCTCTTTAATTTGCCTCTCTCCTCTCACATTATCTATAATAAGCAAGGAGAAATGAAGACACACCATCGACAGTTTGCTTACATATGCCCTCAGCTAAATTTGTAAGTGTTGCTTACTAATTCTAATTTCATCCAATGTAATATAATTTAGATAAATTACATAACAAGGTACACATACTTTCCTGTTCTAATGCCATGTTTGTGATGGAAACAAAGCAGGTGTGCCCTCTGCAAAGTGGTCGTCTGAGGTCTGAGATGAAGGGTCACACAGGTATTTTTCTGGTTTCTAAGGGTGATGAAAATAATAGTGATAACAATTCTGAACAGCACTGGCTCCTACCTGAAAGGTTACAGATAAAGTTAGTGCTGTTATTTCATATTAACAACTTATTAGAATAAAGCTTCAAGGGAGGGGCCGCATCGTAGGTCACGGTTGAGGAGGAATTGAGCTGTGCTCTGCTCTCCACCCTATGTACAAGATCCCAGGCAGAAGCACAGGTTCAACTGATGCATGGCTGCTGGAGGACAGTTCTCAGGGGATGACGTTAGGGCACCTGCTTCCTGGGGCAGGGCGCTTCATTCTCTCAATTGTGCACTTGCTCCTTCTGCAGGCTCTGAAGTGAGCACTTGTATTGCCATGACTTATACATGTTCTCTCCCCTAATATGGCACAAACATATTTATTGAATTTTCAATTTCATTTTCTCTGAAGCACATTGGGTAACCGGAAATAAATAAATCATATTCCTTATCGTCCTACACAGCCAAAGATTCCTGAAGACAGAGCTGATGTGATGTACTCATAGGTGGATCTCTGCCTCTCAGACACGGCCTTGGTCTTCAAGTTTCAGCAATTCTGGAAAGCCAAGGACACTTCCATCTCCTCCTCCCTGCTCTGCAACTCACCCGAGAACAGCTTTCTCATTGGAATGTCTCGTGTTTAAGGAATGAGTCCCTGTTTTAGGTTTGCGTGACCGGTGCACCTACTGGATCCAACCCAGGATTGGAGATACTTTCCAGAACATAACATCATCTGAGACATGTCCAGTCACACTGTTTCACTTTCACAATTTCAGCTTCGTCAGAAGAAAATTGAAATTGCTGAGACTTTTTCATAAGCGTTCTGCCATGTCCTTTCTCTGTTTTCTTGCCAGTTCATTTATGTCAGTCATGCCATGTAGATGTAATAAGGTCAGAATTCTGCCTCCAGTAACACATCAAGGTGACCTTTGATTGTACTTTTGGTTTATGCTCCAACATGTAGATTCTGCTGGACTTCCCCTCGATAAATCTCTAGATTTTAAAAGATATAATTCAAATACATTTTCTATGGGTCAGAATTGGAGAGGATTATTTATTCAGGAATATACCAGGAGCCTTCTCCAAAGGTTCCTAAGGGGAAGAACATTTCCAAAATCTTATCCTATGTGAGGGAAGAAGAAAAATCTCCTGCATGCACTTCCCAAGTCTCCACTTGTATCCTGTTTGCTTTAGATTTCTAGGAGAAAAATCTAGTGGGCCTAGTGTCATTGTAGGAGGCACTTTGTATTAGGCTAGACACTAATAAGAAGGGAAAAGTTGTGTTATTAGAATTGTAAATAGAGATTGACTTTAGTCTGAAAGTAGCTGCACCTGCAGAAACTCTCAGATGCAACATTCAACTACAAGAACCCAAGGGAGAAACAAAGCACTCCAAAACTTCCTGCAAGTTTTCGGATTCATTGTGGGTTCACTGATTCGGTGCATCTGGAGCTTCAGAGAAGAGGCTCCCTCCTGTGTCACAGAATCCTTACTTAGGGTCTCCCTGCAGAGTTCAGTAGGTTTAGTAAGGCTAATCGATTGTTCCAAGAGATGGTATAAAAAATGTATGGTGTTACTGAAGGAATATTCCAAACCAGGACACCTCATGCTGGACTGGAGATGCTGGGGGGAAATGCTTTGTGAGTCCTGACAGGAACAGGAACCTTCTTGCAAGGCAAGAGCCAAGCTGGAGGGGGCGCTCAGGAGCCACACGGCACCGGTTCCAGCCCCAGATCGGGTGCACAGGAGGCTTGGGAGGACGTTTCCACTCAGAGTTTGTGTCTTCGTTTATCAGAAAAACAAACAAACAAACACAAACAAAACAGTTCAACAGTTTTTACACAAAGGCAAGTTGCTGACTTGCCTTTATGTAACCCATTATATCGTAACCAGTCAGACAACTTAAGGCGCTGAGAACTTTTCTATTTTATTTTTTATTTTAAGTTCCAGGGTCAGTCTGCAGGATATGCAGGTTTGTTACATAGGTATTTGTTTGCCATGGCAGTTTGCTGCGCCCATCAACCAACAACTTCGGTATTAAGCCCGGCACGCATTAGCTATTTTTCCTAAGGCTCTCCCTCCCCCAACCTCACAAAGATATTTATAACTAGAAATCCACTTTAAAAAATAGTTCTCATTCAATACCGAAGACATGGAATGAGAACTATTTTTTAAAGTGGGTTTCTAGGATTATAAATATCTTAATAGTGAGAACATGAAAGATGGGAATGATTTTACTAATTCAATGAGTACAGAATTGTTGGAGACACCATATTGCTATGAATAAGGAACTAAATTTCAGTGTTAAGTAATGTTGCCTACATTGTGTGAGTGACCGTACAGAGGTGGATCTGACAGTGCAGCAGGTGCACAGACCAAGTGAGTGAGAAATCAATATGTAAAGATGAGGATCTATGGATATGAACTGAAGGTATGTAAACACTTCACGAAATTCTCATAAATGCAATAGGAAAGAAAACCCAAACTTACTCAAAATACAAATTACTTGGTACTTATTTTGGGAACATAAATTCCTAAAGAATTCCAAACTGTTGTTTCATCTCATTCCCCTTGTCTGTGATATGAGAAAATCAGCTCTAATCACACATGACAGGGCAAATCTGTAAACCAAGAGTGTTTCTATTGAAGAGCCTGGGATCTCAGGACACCAAGTACTGGAGACACTGTCTTAGGAGCACTGAGCAGATCTCAGAGGGACCTGCTGGACACTCACGTGGGACATCCAGCAATCAGTTTCTCAGAGTCACCAGTGAACTGTGCTGGTACCTGAGGCCAGCAGGAGTCCAAAGTCCCTGCTCAGGGTCATGGACAGTGATGGTCCCAGAAATGATAGAGCTGGTCTCCATGCTAATCAAATGTGTGTTCACAGTGAAAAGCAGCTAATCAAACGTGTGTTCACAGTGAAAAGCATGTCCTGTGGAGGCTTGTTTTTCATTAAAAGGACCTCTGTTCACAACGAGTTTGCAAATGGAGCAGCACATGCACTTCCTCCAGCAGGACTATGACTTGGACCACCAGCATCTCACTCCTGTATGGCTGATGTGTCATTTATCTTCCCTTTCTTGTCCTGGATCAGGTCTTGAGTTATGAATCGGCCCTTCACGAAGTCTGCATAGTATGTGCTACCACCACTCCAGCTAATAGCAGAGACCCACTCCAGACCCTTCCATGAATTGCTCTGTCCCATGAATGTGCAAATAACCTGAGATCCACTGAGATAAATATGGATATGCCTGGCTCCCACCGGCTCCGTGGAGCGTCAGCTCCCTCTGCCCCTCCTTGCAGCCTGGGCAGGGGCTCCTGATCCTCGCTGGGCCCTGGCCGGTGTCCAGGGCAGGGGTGACATCTCCACAGACTCTCCCCATTGCCCCGGTGCTCAGGGAGGCCTGGCAGAGCTGATCACTACCCCGGCCAGTGGTCTGGAGTGGCAGCCTCCGTGGTCGCCCTGCCATGAGGCAGACCCCTGGGGATGCTGCCTGGGAAGCCGTCCAGAGCCTGCCGAGGCCCAGGAACCCCCGCACCCTTGGCGGGTTGGGCAGTGGCTGCTGCCCGGGTTTGCAACGTGGTGCCGTTTCCTTTTCCCTCCCTGGAACCCCGAAGTTTGACATGGGGGTTCCTTTCTGCCTTGCTGGGCAGCTCCCCTTCCCCTGGGGTAGAGCCCCCCGTTTCTCCAGGTGTTCCCTCCCACAGCTCCGGTGTTCTCCATGGGTGTCTCCACCTTCCAGATCTGCTGCCCTGCCCTGCCCTGCAGACTAAGGCTCTGATTCCCTAAGAGAGGGGAGCTGCTTCCCGGTAGAACTTTGGTGGGGATCTGTCTTCCCACCTCATTTCCCCAGGGGTTAAACCAGGGCCTTTAGGATACTGGTTTCGGTGGTTTGCCCCGTTGAGTAATTTCTTAGTTCTGTAGTGGGCCTAAGAGACTTGGCTCTGGAAGCATTTCAGAAGTGTGGGCTCAGATACACCCCAGACAAACACTTTGGGAAAGGAAGATATTTTGTGACTATTCTCATTATAAGGGAAAGGCATTCAAAAGAATAGAAAAACTCTTCAGTATGTGTTCCCTGAGAATTTCACACTAAAAACATGCTTACCACACTCCACTCAAAGCACTTCAATGTATATTAGTGTATTTTATCTTGTACTAGCCTGTATTTCATTTGGTGAACTCTGCCTCAGTTCAGCTCACACCCTCGCTTTGATTCTCCCTACAAGAACTTGTCTCTCTCTAGATTTCAGGTTTGTTGATTGTCTTAAAATTTCAGTGATCCAAAATATTAAAGACAATTTGCAAAAGTCCATTTTCTCTGTTTAACAGTTATTGTTGATTTTATTGTTGTTGTAAAAAAAAGAAATTCTCGTCTATGTACATTTCAAATCTGAATAACAAAATTTTTAGTAACACCAAAAGTAATAAAAGAATCCAAATATTGATCAGCTGCCTAATAGAAAAACAAATTATGGTAACTTTGTTTACTGGAATACTACCCATCATTCATAATAAAAGAACAACCAATATACACAATAAGAAGATTAAATTATCAAGTATTTAAATTGAGTAAAATAAGCCAAACAAATAAGAGTGTATATGATTCTACTTTTTAAAATTCTGGAAAATGAAAACTGATGTAAAGTAATATAAAGAAGATTAGTAGCTGCCTGGGGATATGTTGGCAGAAGGGAAGGAGAAAGGATAAGGAAATAGAAACAGGAAGTAGAAGGACAGAAAAGAAGTTGAGGGAATTTCACTTGTCCACCTTCTTTATCATGGTAATAGTTATGTAATGATGATCAGTTTTACACTTTAAATATGTAAAGTTCATAATCTGTCAGTCAAATATTATAAAATTTATTATGTGGGGACAAGTTGAAAATTAGACAATGTAGGAGTGACAGAAAGATAGATACCAGTATTTTAAACATCAGAGATACCTGAAAATTTATCTACCTGAACCCTAGTTCTCTCCATAGTTTAAGGTAAACAGGAGAGTGCAGCAAAATCACAGATATTTTGATTAGGCAGTGCTTCTGCAAACCACACTAGGCATGTCCAGCTCTGTCCTGCAGTTGGCTAAGGGAGGAGTCAGGGCCAGTGGTGAGAAGCGCAGGCCCAGATACCAGAACTCACTCATCCCAGACATGATCTCTTAGGTACATACGGAGCCCATCCATGTGTGGGTTTACTTTACATCTGTAAATAGAGAACATTGACTCCTACAGAACATAATTTACACACATAGGTGAATCTGAAATAAGGTGATCAATGCAAAGTTTTTATCACAGCAGTTTCATATTAAGCACATTTTCTCAAATCCCATTGTTGTCATCCATCTTCTCCTCAGGACACTTTCATCTGCTCTGGGTCCTGCTCTCTCTTCAGGTGTCTGATCCCAGAGCTTGCTATATAGTAGGAGTTATGCAAATAGGGCCCTCCCCCTGCTGATGAAAAGCAGCCAAACCCTGACCCTGCAGATGTGGGAGAGGAGCCCCAGCCCCGGGATTCCCAGGTGCTTCTGCTTGCTGATCAGGACTGCACAGAGAACTCACCATGGAGTTGGGCTTGAGCTGGGTTTTCCTTCTTGCTATTTTAGAAGGTGATTGACGGAAAACTAGAGATATGGAGTGTGAATGGACATGAGTGAGATAAGCAATGGATTTGTGTGGCAGTTTCTGACCAGGGTGTCTCTGTGTTTGCAGGTGTCCAGTGTGAGGTGCAGCTGGTGGAGTCTGGGGGAGGCTTGGTACAGCCTGGGGGCTCCCTGAGACTCTCCTGTGCAGCCTCTGGATTCACTTTCAGTAGCTACTGGATGCACTGGGTCCGCCAGGCTCCAGGGAAGGGGCTGGAGTGGGTCTCACTTATTAATAGTGATGGGGGTAGCACACGGTACGCCGACTCCGTGAAGGGCCGATTCACCATCTCCAGAGAGAACGCCAAGAACTCACTGTATCTGCAAATGAACAGTTTGAGAGCGGAAGACACAGCTGTGTATTACTGTGCGAGAGACACAGTGAGGGGAAGTCAGCGTGAGCCCAGACACAAACCTCCCTGCAGGGCATCTGAGACCACGAGGGGGTGTCCTGGGCCCTGTGAACTGGGCTGTTCTCTGTGGCAGGGGCTGGTGGTGCTAAAGGCTGACTTTCTCTCAGCATCTGGGGCTGCCTCATCATCAAGTTTCCTCAGAGACCCTTTCAGATTTACAATTCTGTACTCACACTTAATGTCTCTGAATGTGACACTTTTCCCCCTGATGTTTCTTTGCTTTTGTGACAAGAGGACACATTCTCACCACCACGGAAGCCTGAGTGTCACTTTGGGAGCAGAAATGACCCTCCCTGGTCACCAGAATCAGAGTCCGAGGAAGCCCAGGGGAACCTGGGAAGTGTTTTCCAATCAGACTCAGAGCGGATGTCTCCATGGGAATCTCTGATTGGAACAGGGTTTTGGATTCAGATTGGGACCAAGAGGGAGGTTCATCCATCCAGGGCCAGGGTCCTTAGAATCCTGACAGTTTTCATAGTAATCCCATCATCCTTTAAAACTGAACATTTGACTCAGAATTCATCCATTTGGTCCTTTCTCTGCTAATCAATTTTCCTTTTCATTCTTACACTTCCCTTTTCTCCTTTTTTCTTAAAATGGAGGGTGTGCGTCCTGTGGTCTAAACCGCAGGCCTCAGATACATTACCTGGAACTCAGGTGTGGCTCAGGTTGTGGCTCCTGAGGACCTGGCAGGCTGAGGGATCTTTCTCATTCCCGGTTGCCTGGACGCCCCTGCTGTCCTCTATGCATGGTCGCATTTGGGGAACCCAAGTGGACACTCCTAGTTGTTTCCTCAAATGGGACACTGATGTCGAGATGATCTTGTGCTTCTCACCCTATCACAGAGCCCCCACCCCACCTGTGATTTTTGGGAGAGCTGAGGATGACTTTATTGTGCTGCGAGCTCGGCGTGACAGCAATTGTGAGGTCTGGCTAGGCACAGCCAGAGCCAATGGAGCCGGTCATCAGGAAAGACAAGCTGGAATTCCCGGGAATCCCTACATCTGATGTCCACCATAGAGTTCCATCATCTCTTCTTCTGCTAGGATTAAATCAGACTGAACAAGTTCATCTAGGACAATCTTCCTGACCTAGAGAAAAGTGATGACAGGCTTTAATAACACCTGTATTATATCATCGGAGCAACACCTATATTAGTGTTTGATTGAATAACTGAGACTCTGTCCCAGTCAAGGTGACACACAAAATAGATTATTGCCATGATTAATATTTTATATTGATTATTTTAATACTAATATTAATGCAATATTAATTTAATATTAATTAATAGTTTATATTTGACAATAGAATCAGACTTATGTTATAAATAATTTTGCTAAAATATGTGTATTATTATTCATCTTCTGAGCAGAAATCTCCAGTAGCCAATTAAGTTTGCATACGTTGGTCAAAAGAGGGCATCCACCCTTTTGAGGGAAAATGCATGGAGGGTAAACGAGCCTGGGAAAGCCGATGGCATGTGATGGAAGCCTGTCCCTGAGTGAAGGAGAGAGGGAGGGAGGATTGGTTGGAACCTTCTTACATTTATGTGCTGTGCAAAGAAAGTCCAGATTATCACTGAGTTTTGCGCAAGTCAAAGTTGCCCCTCAGGAAACCCGCATGACTCCCAGCAATGGCTCCGCCTCAGATGAGTGCAGAGCTCACTCTGTTGCTAAGAATGGAGCACAGGATACGGGATTCAGCATGAGCCACATCACGGACGTCAGAGAGCAGCAGCCGGGTGCGTGATCCAAGCGCGTTGTTCTGCCTGTAGGTGGAGGGAGGAAGGTGCATTCTCAGAGCCAATATGCTGTGGATTTTTATACAGAATACACGTTTTCACATGATTGATTGGAAGGCATATGAAAAAATGTGCAGTCCACAAGCAATTGTAATTTTCAAATTTACCACAATTGCATTATGTTTTCATTCTGCGTGATGTCCTGGAACAGAGTTGCATTTTTCATGGGTGTTGTTTCACGGATTGAGAACATGAATTTCACACCCGCATTTTTTACCCATGTGCAGAGACCTTGCGTAGAGCATGTCTGGACCTTGTCTACACTACGTCTCATGTCCCAAGGGAAAGAGTGGAGACTTGACTGACTGCAAACTTTGTGGTAGGAGCTGCTCCTGCACACTCCTGCACACCTCAGAGCCTGCAGAGACCCCAAGTGAAGTTTTATTGAGCTGGGTGTCTTCCTATGTGGGGGAATTATGGGCTGCCGCACTCCTGGTGATTGCTTGTCAGCTCTAAAGACGGGTTCAGAATGAGGTCACCTGGTAGCCTTTCTCACTGCAGCTCCATTATATAAATTACCACCGTCAGATTCCAGGTAATAACACAAGTTCTATTTTTGTGACCTGATTTTCTTAACTTTTTTGTTCATAAGTTTGTTATAGAAAATGTTACCACTTAGTTTCCTGATTCAAATCCGATAATTTGCTGAACTAATCAGGGTTTTCTTTTTTTAATGTGCTCAGTATTTGGGAAATACAAATGAACAGTCATGTATTGTTCACTGAGTGGACATAGTCAGTTAAGTACATTAGTAAAAAATTTTATTGCTGAATTATATAGTCAAACTACAATTAGATTTGCAGAAAATTGCCTCCAGTAATGTCTGAGAAGGGAGGGCCCCCCAGCCGATTCCATCTCTGGGCTTTGAGGAGGCTCCTACACAGGCGAGGTCACATGGGCGAGATCCAAGATGCAGCTCCCAGCCATTGCTGTGTATTTTCCAGGAACCAGACATACACCTTGGCATCTCAGAAGCAGATCCCAAAGACTTCCTTTATCTGGGCTTCACGGGCAGCACAGGACCAGCAGGAGATCCTCAGAACTCACCCAAGGCAGAGGCACAGTGAAGAGCAGGTGCAGAGAGGAACCAGCCAGGGAGCCTCTGACCACCATCTAGGGTTGTCTTATTTTCCTTCACATCATGCAGCCCTCAGGAGACCACCCACTATGTTGTTTATAACTCAGGTCCCCCTATCTTGAAGCAAAACGGACATAAATATGACTCTGCAGTTAGACCCTTGAACCTGGGTCAATTTTTTCTGAGAATGCCAACTTAATCGTCAATATCATGGACATTATGTCAAAATCAAGATGGATATTTAGTCACCAGGAAGACAGTTTGTCTCATGGTAGAAATGCTTATTCGATTAAAAATTACATTTTATGGAAAAGGTCTCTAAGTGAGGACTGGTCAAATAATAAAGTATTAGTGAAGTATCAGAAAAATAATGGCACCATTATCTTGGCATCCAATTAATCTGTAAAGCTTATCAATATTCATGTTGTAAGTGGTCTAGGAAAAGTTATGGCAGTATTTAGGCTATAAGGAGACAGTGCTTTACTTCTTAGATAGGAATGTCCTTTTTTATCATAGTTTAAGTTCTGGGATACATGCACAGAATGTGCAGGTTTGTTACACAGGTATACATATGCCTTGGTGGTTTGCTGCACCCATCAACCTGTTATCGACATTAGGTATTTCTCCTAATGCTATCCCTCCCCCCGTCCCCCACCCCCAAACAGGCCCCAGTGTGTGATGTTCTCTTCCCTGTGTCCATGTGTTCTCATTCTTTAACTCCCACTTATGAGTGAGAACATGCGGTGCTTGGTTTTCTGTTCTTGTGTTAATTTGCTGAGAATGATGGTTTCCAGCTTCATCAATGTCCCTGCAAAGGGCATGAACAGGAAATTCCTTCTAAATGAACTGTGTTTTGACAAACATTGTCCAGTGACTCTTCCTAAATGAGGTTTCTACATGATCTGTTTTTCTTTTCCAAAAACAAATCACTCAAGTTTCTCATTATCTCCTGAGTGAGAAATATTTTCCCCAAACACAGCCTCAGTCTAGGTAGACACCTTCGTGAATGAGCGTTCACTCTCAGACAGGCACACACTGTCCCCGTGTGGACTCTTCTCTCAGGCAGGCACACAGATCCCCACATGGTTAGGATCATTTACTGGGACTCTGCCCCACGGGGATCTCTGTTATCACTGGGGCAGGTTAGCATCTCGATCCTCATCCGCACTGTGACCTTTGAGGTCTATGGCCTGCCACACCCTCTGTCTGTCCCTCAGTGTCCTGAATGGTGAAGCAGCCCACCCGAGGGATGGAGGAAGATCGCAGATTTTCCTGGGAAGGAGACAGAATGCCTGTCACAGAGATGGAAATCCCTCACATCCCTCCTGGGTCAGGTTCTGGGCAGGGTCTCTGAAGGCACTCCTGGATCAGTGTCCTAAGATGTCTCCCTCTATTTCCATAGGAAGAACCCAGAGAAAGACAAATAAGTTTTTCTATTAGGGCATTGTAGAACTTGTGCTTTCTTGTGTGACAGATAGAGATATTCTGAATATTTTTAAAATTAGGTATAATATTAAGTCTATCAAATATGTAAATACATAAACTTCATAATGTATATCTACAGAGATGTTTCCTGGAATTTAGAATTGAATATATATATACATATTTTTTTCCCAAGATAAATCTTGGTGAACATTATAAAATTGACTCTAATATTTATGTTCAAGATGATCATTTTAAAAAAAGGTTTAACAACAGAGACCAGATGTATCTTTTCACCAGAAATTACTATAAAACACAGTGAAATTTCTTAAACATGATTTTAAGATGTGTGACATCAATTAACACAGACAGTGATTGCTGGGAGGGGGAAAATATACAAAACAAGCCCTATGGTGAAGGCACACTCTGATACTTTCTGAAGAGAGTTTCTGGGCCACGGTGCTGAAGTGGAACCAGGTAGATCTGAAGTTGAGGAAAAGGAGCTGAGATCCCAGACAGGCCAGGAAGTGTGGAGACCACAGAATAGACAGTGGGTAGCAGAACACTGTTCAGAGAGCGGACCCCACAGACGGCAGGAGAGAGACCCAGCATTGGCAGAGTGCGGATCAGTGTGAGGGAACCAGGGCAAGTTGTACACGAGATCACACCCTACTACAGGGGGCTTTCCTTAAAATCTAAAATTACCCTAAATTTTAATCATATTCACTTATAAATTTTAAAATATAAAGAAAGACACCATATTAAAGAAAGATAAAGAAAAGGTGGATTTGCAATATTAAAATGTAAAAAGTGCATTTCTGAATAAATGATAACACTGATGAGGGGGACGAGTTTATTCTATCATGGCAAGTGATTTAAGAGAAGAACATTCCAAATGCTTACAGACAGAATGAGGAAGCTTCAATCACGAATATGAATACAGTTATCTCATTACCAGAGTGATGCCATGAGAAACTTCAAGCTTTCCAAAGAGACAACCTAATCTGGTAAGAATTATAGAAACCCAACCTGTAATATCATGAAAATTATCCTAAGAACACACAGTAAATGAAATCCATTGATTGACATAATGTGCTACTATTGACTGAATGGTTATGACCCCCATAAGGAATATGTTGGAATCTCAACTCCAATGTGATGGTGGCAGGAGACGGGGCCTTTGGTCTCCTTTGAAAGGTGTTGAGGCTCCATCTCATGAGTGGAATTAGCGCCCTGATAAAATACCCCAGAGAGCTCCCTCTTTCCTTCCACCAGGTGTGGTCATGGTAGGAAGGTGGCCGTCTATAAATAAAGAATTGGGACTTCACCAGATACGAATCTCTAAGGCATCTTGATCTTGAACTTCCCAGCCTTGAAAATCGGGACAAATACATTTATGTTACTTCTGGGCCACCCAGTCCATGGTATTCTCTCACAGCAGCTCAAATAGTCTCAGCAAGTGCAGTGAGGACCCAGAATACTTGAGAGAAGAGCATTACCCTCTTCTTTACATCTCAGGATCACAGAAGCTTGACCTTGGGCTGGACTGACAAGAAGGTGGTGCTTCCCTCTCCCCCAGATCTCAGCTGAGGTCATGGTGTCAGGTCTTTATGGTGGAGACTAAATTCCAGTCTGTGATTTGGTGGATGCCTTTCTCCTCCCAGCCTCACTCATGAGACATGGTTTCCATGTCATGTGTTACAGGCCAAGAAGAGGTAGACCCTGATTATTCTCACCCCAGCTCCCTTGTAGGGCGGAGGTTCTGGGGAGCTTCCTGAGAGAAGCACAATGACATCATGGGAGTCCACCACTCCCATGCCCAGTCTTCTGTACTTAAAGCAGGAGTGTCCCTCTGAGATACCCGAACCCTTTCTTCTGCACCAATGTGGAGACTGGCATGTGTTTCTAGTGACAGAGGCAGGGCATAAAAACAGTGAAACGAAGTTCTCTCTAAACGGCGCGACTTGATTTGCAGTTGAATGAGAATAATTTCAACGCTAAAGTTCATCTAAAATGTTAGCGGTTTTCATGGTAAGTAATTAATGGAAATCTGACAGCTCCAGGAGAGCAATATAGAAATCAATAGTCCACTCATTTTAACAGAGAGAATAAGAAAACCTATAATTTAAGAATTACCAGCTGGGCACTGTGGCACTGCCTGCAGTTCAATTTACTTGGGAGTTTGAGGTGAGAGGATCATTTGAGCCCAGGGTTTCAAGTCCAGCCTGAAAACATAGTTAGACTCCATTTCTTGAATAAAATCAGTAACATTTTGGGGTCAGAACAATCCTCAAAAATGGTCCCTAGAAAGAAGCCCAAATTTAATTGCACCAGATTGTTGAACGATTTATGCTACAAAACATTGTCACCATGTCAGAAATGAGCACAGTGTAACATCCAGGTGTTATGTTAAGAGAAACAAACAGTCAAGTAGAACAATCAGGTAATTCGGCTGTCAAAGGTAACACTGCCAAATGACAGCGCTTCCGTGGAAACTGCGTGTACATCCAGGACTGCACCTGTGAACGATGACATCATACCCTTCAGAGTGTCGAGGAAAGAGACATCACTCAAACAGACAAGCCAAGGGACTTCAGAAATATATAAGGGGAAGTACAGTGTGCAAATACGTAAAAATGAAATTAGATGATGACTGCTAAATGAATATCAAGGCACAAGCACATATTATGAAATTATATTTTCCTGAATGATAGGATCACTACCAATCTCCCCGAGGACACCCTCATCTACTGTGTGCACAGCCTTCTCCTGAGGCGTCACACCCCTGAGCTTGCTATATAGTAGGAGACATGCAAATAAGACCCCCCTTTGGGTGATGAAAAGCAGCCCAGCCCTGATCCTGCAGCTCTGGGAGAGGAGACCCAGCCTTGGGATTTCCAGCTCTCTCCACTTGGTGATCGGCACTGAACACAGGAGACTCACCATGGAGTTTGTACTGAGCTGGGTTTTCCTTGTTGCAATTTTAAAAGGTAATTCATGGAGAAATAGAGATGTGGAGTATGAGGGGACATGAGTGAGAGAAACAGTGGATTTGTGTGGCAGTTTCTGACCAGGGTGTCTCTGTGTTTGCAGGTGTCCAGTGTGAGGTGCAACTGGTGCAGTCTGGGGGAGGCTTGGTCCAGCCTGGCGGGTCCCTGAGACTCTCCTGTGCAGCCTCTGGATTCACCTTCAGTGACTATGCTATGCACTGGGTCCGCCAGGCTTCTGGGAAAGGACTGGAGTGGGTTGGACGTATTAGAAGCAAATCTAACAATTACGAGACAGGATACGATGCGTCGGTGAAAGGCAGGTTCACCATCTCCAGAGATGATTCAAAGAACACGGCGTATCTGCAAATGAGCAGCCTGAAAACCGAGGACACGGCCGTGTATTACTGTACTAGGGACACAGTGAGGGAAGGTCAGTGTGAGCCCAGACACAAACCCCCCTGCAGGGGCGCGCGGGGCCACCAGGGGGCGCTCGGGACCCACTGAGGACGCGCAGGTCCCAGGAGCAGGTGCAGGGGGAGGTTTCCTTTGTCCTCAACTGGAATGTCATGTTTGTGTTTTCAGAACCCTGGAGTCTTACAGGTTGTTATATTTTTATACTGTTATTAGTATGTATTTATTATCATTGATATTTAAGTTTTAACTTTAAACCTTTTATGTAGCGCTATTTTTAAAAACTATTTACTTTCATTTGCAGGTATTCTTCCAGAGTTTCATTAACATCTATTGCTGTCAGCAACTACAAAGCTATGAGAGCTTAAATTTACACCTGTAGACGTAGGTCTAAATACCACAAACCCGTGCATAAATGTACAGTGATTTATATTTAACATTATAATAAAATAATTTTTAAAATATGTCCTAAACGATCAAACTTATTGACGAACCTAATAAAAATTATTGGAGTAATGCATAATTGATTTCAAAAATTTTATATTGTTTATGTTAATTCATATCTATTTCTTTACTTAAACATAGTATATTGGTCATTTCAAAATAGCTAAGATAAATTTCAAATGGCCTTGAGGCAAAAATGAAAATATTTTGAGTTGATTAATATGCTAATTAGTTATATTTAATTATTCCATATTGTATTAATATATCACAACATTACTTTGTACCTCATAAATATATACAACCGTAATTTATCAATTTTCAAGACAATTATTTAATCCATCCTAGGTCATGATCTTTTTTCCTCTATCCAGGTCTGATTGGATTGTCCTGAGAAACCCCTCCACACGTCTGCCTCCTGCAGGCTTCTGAGACCGGCTCCATGAAGGCACCCCGTGTGAGTCCGCACGCCCCGGAGCCTCCCTCTCCTTGGATTAGGCCATCTCCTCGGGATCACAGGGCTATTCCTTATCCTCACCCCCTTGTTGTACCAAATAAGCAACATCACACTTTAACTCATCACGCTTTGCTTTAATTTTCCCCCAAAAAAATCAAGGTAGTAATTTTAGCAATACACATCACAAGCTACTATGAATAAGTCCGCTCCCACGTACTAACGTTGCTTTTGAGGACTTTACATGTATCACACAGTTTAAATTTCTTTATGAAATGAGATACTAATATCTCCATATTAGAGATTGGTTTTCTAAGTCGTTTCTGAAAATTAATTTTTCCAAGGGCCCGTACAGATTCTATTAGAAACCCAGGATAAAATTTGAAATTTCAGCAGTAATATCTGGAGAAACAATGAGACTATATTTAACTTAGTATGTGTGCTCTCAAATATCCTTATTTCCCTAAAGGTTGTTCTCAGTCATTATTGTACACATGATATTTGTAATTAATACTATTAAGACAGGTTAAAATGTTATCTCAATTATTTAACGACTTTTGATAATAACAAAATACATATTCCACATAGTTTTGACCCATTTGTTTTCTCTATGAAACACGTGTTTATTAACTTGTCAGATGTCGCCCTTATCTTTCTGATTTTGGGGATTTAATTCTAGCAGGTATTGTTGAGTATATTTTATTAATTCATATTATATTGTTCACATTTTCAGTATGATTTTATTATTTGCATTATTTACTGAATTTTAAACTGTTATACAATGTTTTTTAATTTTTTATTTTCATGAGATGTAATTTCAATATAAGTAATAATGCATAGATTTGCAATGTACCATTACAGTATTTCTGGCAAATGTAAACACACTTGTCCCCAACTGCCAAGGTCGGATGAAGAGGAGGCCCATCCCCCCAGCACAAGTGGCCTTCTCAGTGCTTCCAGTCAGCTCCCACATTTAGCACAATGCTTTGATTTCTGCCACTGTAGATTAATTGTTAATGTTTTGATGTTCATATAAATGGATTCAAACATTATAGACCCCTTATCTGGTAAGGGGCTACTTTTGTTATTTTTGATATTTATTTATGCTATTTTATATGTAAAATTACATCTGTATATTTTCATTTGTTCACTTAACAGACTACCTCTGATATATAATCTCAAAGCTTTGATATACATGGAGAAAGAGAGAGGGGGAGAGAGACAGAGAGAGAGAGAGAGAGAGAGAAATTTTATACTTGAGTCACTCCATTTAGCAATAAATGACAGTAAGCTGATCCATTTTCCTGTCGGATGAACTTTTTATTTGTTTCTGGTTTATTAACATCATAAACGAAGCTGCTGTAAATATTTTTTTTCTATTTATCTTTTCTCATTTTGATTGAGAAAATATGTGGAAATATGCATTTCTTCATCATAAATGTAAGCTTAATTTGTTTGGCTTTATGGAACTATAATTGAAAATGAAATTGTATATATTCGAGGTGCACCACTTGATATTTTGGTACAAACTGATAAATTTTCACTATGACAAAGGAATTGGAATGTCTATTACTTCACAGTTACCATTTTTCTTCCTTTAATTTATTATGTGTGTTTCCAATGAGAACATCTGAAATCTGTCCCTTTACCAGAGATCAAGTTTGCAATACAGTGTTGATAGCTATAGTCCCATTGCTTTACATTAGAACTCCTGAACCCATTCAACCTGCACAACTGAAAATTTATGCCCTTGACAAGCATCACTCTACTTCCCCTCCTCCCAGCCCTGGGAACCACTTTTCTACTCTCTGCTTCTAAGAATTTGAATATTTTAGATTCCACATATAAATTAGATCATGCAGCATTTGTCTTTCTCTGTCTGGCTTATTCCACGTAGCATAATGTTCTCCAGGCCCATCCATGTTGTAGGAAATGTTACAATTTCCTTATTTTTAGAGATCATATAATAGTCCATTGTATGTATATATGTTTCCTTTATACACTCATTTACCTATGGTCATTAACTTTAAAAAATTCTAGGCCATTATGAATAATCCTGTAATAAACATATTTTTTACTTACTGATTTTATTACCTTTGAATACACAGCCAGAAGTGGGATCATAAGATCACATAATAGTTTTACTTTCAATTCATAAAATAACCTCTACTACAACTCCACTGAATAATTCCCTTTTCACCAGCCAACTGTCAGCATTTTGTTATCTTTTTTCTTTGTGATAATAGTAACGGTAACTAATGTGAGGTGATATTTCATTGCGGTTTTGATGTGGATTCCCCCGATGGTTAGTAATGTGGAGCACCTCTCCATGTCCTGCTGGCCATGCATATGTCCTCCTCTGAATACAATGTCTGTGCACAATTTTGCCTTCTTAAAATCAGGTTATTTTTTGCTATTGTAGAGGTTCTTTACACATTTAGATAGATCCCTTTGTCAAATACATAGTTCCAAATAATTTATTTGTCTGTGATTTTGGCGTCAAATCCAAATAAATCATTTTCCAGATAAATTCCAGGAAGCTTCTTTTTTCTCTATTTTCTTCTATGACTTTACAATTTTAGATATCATATTATATTCAAGGCTTGAGTACATTTTTAGGTGATTTTTGTATATGATATGAGATAAGGTCTCATTTTTTTCTGCATATGGATGCCCAGTTTTTATACCATTTGTTAAAAAGGCTATCTTTTCCTCATTGTGTGTCCTTGGAACACAAAATCTGGCAGAGACATCAAAGAGGAAAATCTTAGACCAATATTCCTGAAGATAGATCTAAAAATCTTCAAGAAAATACCAGCAAATTGAATACAGCAGCATATTAAAAAGTTATTACGTTGTGATCAAGTAGATTTTACTCCTTTCATGTAAGGCTAGTTCAACACACACAAATCAATAAAGGTGATTCACCACATAAGCAGAATCAAAAGCAAAAACAATATGATTACCTCAAACGATCCAGAGAAACTTTCGATAAGATTCAACCTTTTTCATGATAAAAACCGTCAACAGACTAGACATCAAAGAAACTTACCTTAAAATGATAAGAGCCATATATGACAAACCCACAACTAACATCATACTGAATTAACAAAAGCTCAGATAATTCCCCTTCATAACTGGAACAAAACAAGTATACCCACCCTCACCACTCTTATTCAACATTTTGTTGGCTGTTTCAGCCACAGAAATCAGACAAGAGAAAGAAATAAAAGGCATTCACACAAGTAAATAAGAATTCAAAATGTCTCTTTTTGCTGTTGATAGGATCCTATGCATAGAAAATTCTATAGACTCTGCCAAAAGAATCCTAGAATTGATAAACAACTTTAGTAATGTTTCAGGATACAGAATAAATATACAAAAATCAGTAGCTTTTTTATACACCAACGACATCCAGACAGAGACAGAAATAAATGACACAATCCCACTTACAACATCTACACAAAAAGAAATACCTAGGAATACAGCTAACCAAGGAGGTGAAAGATCTCTACAAGAAGAACTACAAAACACTGCAGAAAGAAATCAGAGAGGAAACAAATAAATTGAAAAAAACATTCCACGCTCATGGACTGGAAGAAATAATATGCAAAAATGGCAATATAATCCTTCAACTTTTACAGATTCAATGTCATTACTATCAAAATACTGGTTTTATTCTTCGAGAAATATAATAAAAGTATTCTAAAATTTTTATGTAACCAAAAAAGAACCAAAACAGCCAAAGTAATCCTCAACTAAAAGAACAGAGGCAGAGACATCACATTATTTGACTTTAAACTATTATAAAGCCACACTAACAAAAACTGTTTGGTACTGGTACAAGAATAAACACATAGACCCAAGAAATAGAATAGAAAACTCAGAAATAAGGCTGCACAACAACAACCCTCTGTTTTTTGACAACCCTGAAAAAAATAAACAGCAATGGGGAAAGGACAACCTAGTCAATAAATGGTGCTGGGATAACTTGCTAGCCATGTGCAGAAGACGGGAACTTGACTCCTAACTATCACCATATGAAAAGGAAAATTAACTGAAAATGGATTATAGCTTTAACTAGAACTTCAAACTACAAAAAAGCTAGAAAGACAACCTAGGAATACTCTTCTCTGCATTGGCCTTGGCAAATAATTACTGGCTCTGAGACTTGTCTCTACACTAGTACATCAGAGTGTTTTTCACATCATTTAACAAAATGTTGACCCTGTGAAATTCTCTACTTTTTCTATCATGTCTTGGTATTATATCTAAAATTTCTGAAGTTTAAAGGGAGCAAGAATTTTTCTCATGTGCCAAAGCTGATGCCATAATGCACAGATGCAGGTTAAACTCCCACTCTTTGCATGAAGAAATATCAACAAAATTTTGTGTAATTATACTCTTTTAGATAAACATCCTTCTTCTCTCATATATTTTATTTATTCATTTATTAATAACCATATGTTTTCATAAATATTTAATAC